GGTAAAACTCCATAGAGAACATTGCCCTGAATTTCTTGTCCCCCAGTTAATGATTCCGGGCTTATGTACAACAAAGAAAACGCTCCCTATCCATTCAATATTTCTCGATCTTTCGTTTTACTTTCCGCTAAGTAAGTGGCCTGAATTTCTAGTGACCTCGAGTACTTTACCTGGTCCTCAATAATTGACATGAGAGGTAAAATAACTATGACCAGTGGATTACTAGGGAATTCATAACCTTTAGCATCTAACGATTTTTAAACCCCCAAGCTTATAGGCAACATTTGGAAGGTTACACTCTTCTACCAATTGCCCAAAAACATCTCTTCTTTCCACAATCTTCTCAATAATAAATCTTTGCTTCGCTTTGAACTGTACCACCGGAAACAAAGACAAGCCTTCTTCAAGCGCTTTCTGGTTAACACTACTATCAACTTCGGCCGAATTCGTACGGTCAACTACTGTAAGCTTTCAAGCTTAAAAGTTTCGAAAGGAGTTTGGAGCGAAAGCAACCGCACTGCAGCTAGCTGGCATTTCCCACGATCAATCGACGTAGTTGCCTGGCCCGTGCAACGGAAATTTTCACGTTGTAGAAAGTTTCAGAAGTCGTGCAACGAACATTGACATCTAAAATGTCAGCTTGGCGTTCTATACTAGACAATGTGAGCAAATTAAGGTGTATAAAGTGAAAGTAATGTATAGCGTATCGTATCAGCAATAAAGATTTACGATACCTTGGAAAGATCCGCCTTAAAAATTCATCGGAGAGTGTTTGCTTCTTGTAGCCGTGCTAAAGGTTGTAATTTTTGCGGGTTGTTAACATTTTGTTCTGAAACTTTCCCCGAGAAACATTCCCCGTTGAACGCGCTAAGCAACTATGGCGATCGATGAGGAAAACTACCTTGTGTAAGAAAACACAAGAGTCACCCGGAAGCTTCTCTTCGCTGATTGGCCAGAAAAAGATTTTTCTGGCCAATCAGAAGCAGGCAATTCAAACGCCTCTGGAACTGGTTCGGTAAGAGTAAGTGCCCAGGGGCTCGTCTCGATCTTACAGAAAACTTTCACCACGAACATTTTATCGACCCGACTAACTGCCCCTGGGTCTCCGAGGATGACTATCGATCTATTGCTGTGACAGAAGGTTTTAATTTAACTAATGATAACTCGCTTGCGGCAAAGAGCCGTCATTTCTCTGTAGGACTGAGATATGATCAAACCACTGACTGGTACAGCAAACACAGCAGTAGATTAAACAGGACTAAACTTTGGTTCCAACAGAGTTTATTCTTCAGCGGATCAAATGGCAATAATTAACTCAGGAAGGACACAGCAAAAATAATCGAAAACAGTAAAAACTAGCTTACTTACATTAAATATGATTTCTACAACCATTGAAGACAAAAGAAACTTTGAAAACTAAGTGCAAACTCTATTTTTAACCTGAAATCTTTTGTTAATACTGTTGCTATTTTAGGAAGTCTGAAGTACTGAAAATAAGAACTAGCCAGGTCAGCAGAACAGCGTTTATGTACAAAGTATTACAATATGAATGAAAATGCAAGTTCAGCGAGCGGCTGTTTCAACAGAAAGAAGCGCAGACTAATTGCAAGTTTTCACCAAGCTAAACAGCAAAACCTTTCATATTCAAAATTCATTTGTTGCTCTATTTGACTAACAACTTAATGAAATATTTGTTCGCAAATAGACAGCTAAATAGCAAATTTAAACAAGCGACACCTGTGCAAAAGGGCTATGAAAAGATGTCGTCCGGTTGTAAATAACCATTATTCAGAAAATAATTATCCTTTTAAAAGTCATCATTGAAGTAAAATGCAATGCTTATAATTGAAAATAGAACGAGAAATTAGTTTTGTTTGTTAAGGAACACTGTTGGCTTTTCTACAATTATTACTTAGCGGACACAAAACAAATTAAAGGACAATGAAATGGCACGAGCCTTTTTGCGGAGCTAAAACATCTTTATGCAATTTCAGTATAAATTACTAAAAACAACGTCAAAGATATGAAATTCGAGACAAATAAAGAATTCATGGAAAATCTCTCCTTACATTGCCTTCGAGCTTCGACAATCTTTTTACATCTGGTTCTCTTAACAGGGGCACCCAACGAGAATATAGTTTAAAACCACTTATACATAGCACTGTTGAACGTGTTTTAGTAAATGTACCGGTATTGTTTTTCTGGGAATTAGCTTCTTCCTCGCTGGCAGCAGAGAGGTACCCCCCGGCAACTGGGATCTTGACAAGGAGTGCAACTCTTTCTTCACAACAAGGTTAATCGTTTATTTCGCAAAGTGTATTCAAACGGTAGATACAGGCACATATTTATCCCCTAAAAATTTTTCATCTGTTCGGATTTCCTAGCTGAAAGTGTAGTGATCCGAAAATTTTAGGGATCAAAACTTACTTTTTCGAAAATTTCAGCCACAAAAAAAGCCTCCCGAAAATTCTAGGTGACCTTTTTAGGGTAAGAATCCGTTAAAAATGGGCAATTATACCATCTTTTAGATGTTCGAAAATCCTAGGAGAAGCAGGCAAGCAAGAAATTATACAACAAATGTTCCGAAAGTTCTAGATCTCAAATCGTATTCCGAACAGATATTTTCCAAAAATTGGCATTGGGTGCCCCTGTCTTAAGTTCTTCATGATTACAAAACTCAATTGCTCAGTATCTTCGATCCCATGTAAAGTCTAGGACACCCTTAAAACCAATAAAATATCTTGCCAATGCACACACTTTTGGAACTCTCCAAGTTCAAACGTCGATCTTTTCATGTACCAAACTTAATACCTATTTAGGTCGACCCAAATGATGAGTCATTCGACGGTTGATTCAGATCTCGAACTTAATTAGTCGGACTCAATTCATTTCCATGATGTTCAATGGTCTAAAACGCAAGTGAAATAAATTTTAGTAATTTATGCATTAGGTTCGGCATATGAGAAGTTCGACGTTTAAACCGGAACTAAGCAAACATTTAACTACCATGACATCTGCAGCTGTGACATGGTCTAGCTAATTTTAAATTTTCCCTTAAATGTGAACTTTTGTCGAAAAATTTCTAATAATCCAACTAAATCTCCTTATAATTTCTAAATGAGTGTATATAACTCAACTTCCTCCTATTCTTGCAACAGTAAAGGCTTACGGTGTTCAGGAACCAGCTCTTCAACTCTTAAGATCATATCTGCATGGCCGCAAGCAAAGGGTGATATGCAATAACAAGTGCTCTAGCTGGTCAACGGTACGATGTGGCGTTCCACAGGGAAGTCTCCTTAGTCCTCTACTATTTAACATCTTTATGAACGACATAAACGAAACTGTCACCGTTTCTTCCCTCCGCCTCTATGCAGACGATACAACTCAATATACTGCGGATTATAGCCCAGTTGTTCTTCAACACTTATGTGTGTATCTGACATTAAATAAATTATCTTATTTTATCTTATCTTATCTAGTAACTGATGTTGATTCTATTCCTTTTTTCCCGTATCTTAGCAATCTGTGGTTGATTTCATTAAATCGCGTCGTTCCTCTTCTTTAAGTCTAGCATTCTCGTCCCCAGAGCCTCCTGGGGGCCTGAGCACGAGAACCAGGAATCTCTGGGGACACAGGATTTGAAGTTGAAGTCCTAGATTTTAAGACTTTCGGTCATTTCTGATTTTCTACAAGAGTGTCCTGGTTTTCGTGCTCAGGCCCCTAGGAGGCTCTGGGGACGAGAATGTAAGTCTACTTAAACTAACCTAGGAGGAGCCTGGACCCTACCTAAGCCCCAGGTTTCCAGTTCAGGCTTCCCCCTCACCATCTTTTTCTTTACATTTATCTAAATTCTGCAGCCTGTAATGTGACAAAAAGAAATAAATCAAAACAAGAAGCATCATTTTCTTTCTCTTCAAGATAAAGAGTTGCCATCCTTGCAAGGAACGCTCTACCGCGTAATTGTGAAGAAAATTAAACTGTCTTCGACTTCAGATAATTAGGAACTGCTTCACTGCATTCTTCATCGTACCTATACAACAAAAACAGCAAGGAGGAACGTTAGCAAGCTAGCAGAAGAATAGTGATTTCAGCCAGCGTAGCCAATCAGTTAATATATTGGCGCCTGACTTCGAAACCATTTAAAGCATAGAATACCATTTAAACCTTTAACTCACATCGTACGAGAAGCATTATTGTAGATAAACCGATACTTACAACCGAAAATGTTTAATAAAGCCCCCCTCTCCAAACCCTCCGACCTTTTCAAAGAAATAAAGCACGAAAGCTCCCTCTCTCTCTCTTTCAAGCCCCACTACTATTACTCTTAACCAATAGACGTACATGATAGGTGCAAATGTAACTGGATTGAAGGTTACAACTAGCTGTTGTTCTTCGGTTGTATGACCTCCAACTAAAGCTTTTCCACTTTGTGTTCTAGTTCTTTATGGAGACTACGATATTCGGTTAATTGAATAAGCCAACCCCCCCCCCTCTCAAACGTCCTTGAAATAAATAAGTCCCTGGGGAAATTAATATAGGATTTACGGTACTTTCCTGACTTTCAACTGGTAAGAATATCAAATCCCTTAATCGACCATCCACCAAAAATGCCAAAGTGCTTCCACTCAGAGCACCATAACTGAAGCCGGTGGCTCATATAGGCTATCACCTTCCGAAAGCGACAGGAAATTTTCGGTGGTCGCATACGTCAGGTTCGACTGTAAGTTACAATCATTCGGAAAGAGCTCAAACAGGACCACCGACACTTTAAAATGTAAAGAAATTGCGAAATTTGAAATAAATTTTGTAATGTTTAACTGCCAAACAAAGTTTCCTTTCTTATTGTCAACTTGACCTGTGATAAGCAGATCGACGCTATACGTGGCATCGGTTGAGTTCGTTGCCCGATAACTGTTAAAAATAATTGCTAGTTAAAATAACGATTGCAAATGCAGGGATTATGATCCCAGGATTAAATATATTCCAAAATACCTTGCTAGTTAATTGCTGCCTTCAAACTCGAGCGTTACGTCATCACCAATGAGAACAAAAGGCGCCCAGTACCTCACTGCGCTAAAGTCTTCAGATTCTCTCATGGATTTCATGGCTTTATTCAGGGCCTCACTGGCACTTCGTCCATGGACTAGTTCTTGGTAGAAAACTTTCATGAACTCCATAGTAGCTTCGTCGTCAATCGCCCACAGGGACATCAGAACAGCACGAGCACCAGCACCCAAAAAAGCCCGTGCGATGCCGACCACACCCTCAGATTTGACTTCTCCCCGACCACTATGACAACAACTAAGTACAACAAGTCTTGCCCTTATCTGCGCCTTTAAAACATCTTTCATAGTTAAGAGATAGTCCTCCCTGGCTGGATTTACGGATGAACGCGTTGTGTTTGGGGCCAAGGCAATTTCTCCCGTTTCCATTTTACCGTGAGCAGCAATGTGCACCAAACCAACCGAGGAGATACGTCTTAAAACTTCATCTTTTGTTGCCTGCTTTCCAACGAGAGGTTCAGTTTGAAGTATTTCCCCAATCATCTGCACTTCCCTCTTGGCCCAAATTAACTGCTCTAGCACCTTTCCTTCATAAACCACCTCCTGTACCCACGGATCGCCGACAAGAAGAGCGCCAGTCTTGCTATGCCAATCTGCTGGACAATTTTGGATTAATTGAAGACTAGAAAGTGAGGGAAGCAGACGAATTCTGAAAGTTTCGCAGAGGTACTTTAATTTCATGTCCATGAAAGCAGCATAAGGCGCCAAACACAGAGGTCCGTCTGGAACAATCACAATCTCGTCGCTATAGAGTAAGCCTCTTATAGGGTCTATGACAACATTGTACAATGTTTGTAATGACTTTGTCTCAACACATGGCCGAGACTTTGGGTTACTGGATCTTTCTTCTGCTAGCTTTTTATCGCTTGGGTTACTTAATGAGCGATCTTCACAGTTAACATGAGCTCTCATACCTATAGTTTCCAACAGAGACTGAAAATAGGTTGTGATGGAGATACCGACCTCAGTTCTTCTAGTTTTGATATCTTTTCCTTTCTCATTCACCCAGAAAACTATTCCTCCCTCGCTGATACCCATGAAAACTGTATTTGGTGGTAAGTAACTAGCAAAGTCACTTGGTCTTGAGGAAAGTGTTCCTATTTCTGGGCGTAACCCTTTAAGACCATACTTGAACTCCAGAAGATCATTTAAAGCTCGTGCACGTCCTTGATCAGCAGTTAAAAGTGCCTCAATGACTTTACCTTCCGTAAACTGCAGCTCCCACAGCCTCAAATTAATATGATCATACGTACTTTTGAGGGTAATCTTCCAGTCGTCGTTCGATATGAGATTTCTCCTAATGTGGTCGAAGGCTATTATACTGTTCTTATAATACTGAACTGCTTTCTGAAACTCTCCAAGACTGTGATAGGCGTTGCCAAGATTAAAATACGTGCCTCCCTCTTCTGCCCTGTCTTCCACTTCTTTCGAAATTTTGAGGCCTCGTTCATGGTACTCTATGGCTTTCTGGAAATCTCCAAAACTGTGATAGGCGTTGCCAATATTGCAGTACGCTTTTCCTTCTCCTGCCCTGTCTCCCACTTCTTTCGAAATTTTGAGGTGTCGTTCATGGTACTCTATGGCTTTCTGGAAATCTCCAAGACTGTCATAGGCGTTGCCAACATTACCGTACGCTTTTCCTTCTCCTGCCCTGTCTCCCACTTCTTTCGAAATTTTGAGGCCTCGTTCATGGTACTCTATGGCTTTCTGGAAATCTCCAATTCTGTGATAGGCGTTGCCAAGATGAGAGTACGCTTTTCCTTCTCCTGCCCTGTTTCCCACTTCTTTCGAAATTTTGAGGCCTAGTTCATGGTACTCTATGGCTTTCTGGAAATCTCCAAGACTGACATAGGCGTTGCCAAGATTACAATACGCTTTTCCTTCTCCTGCCCTGTCTCCCACTTTTTTCGAAATTTTGAGGACTCGTTCATGGTACTCTATGGCTCTCTGGAAATCTCCAAGATTTCTGTAGGCGATGCCAAGATTACCGTACGCTTTTCCTTTTCCTGCCCTGTCTCCCACTTCTTTCGAAATTTTGAGGTCTCGTTCATGGTACTCTATGGCTTTCTGGAAATCTCCAAGACTGTCATAGGCGTTGCCAAGATTACCGTACGCTCTTCCTTCTCCTGCCCTATCTCCCACTTCTTTCGAAATCTTGAGGCGTCGTTCATAGTACTCTATGGCTTTCTGGAAATCTCCAAGATTTCTATAGGCGTTGCCAAGATTACCGTACGCTATTCCTTCTCCTGCCCTGTCTCCCACTTCTTTCGAAATTTTGAGGTGTCGTTCATGGTACTCTATGGCTTTCTGGAAATCTCCAAGACAGTGATATGCGTTGCCAAGATTACAGCACGCTTTTCCTTTTCCTGCCCTGTCTCCCACTTCTTTCGAAATTTTGAGGTGTCGTTCATGGTACTCTATGGCTTTCTGGAAATATCCAAGATTTCTGTAGGCGATGCCAAGATTACAGTACGCTATTCCTTCTCCTGCCCTGTCCCCCACTTCTTTCGAAATTTTGAGGTCTCGTTCATGGTACTCTATGGCTTTCTGGAAATCTCCAAGACAGTGATATGCGTTGCCAAGATTACAGTACGCTTTTCCTTTTCCTGCCCTGTCTCCCACTTCTTTCGAAATTTTGAGGTGTCGTTCATGGTACTCTATGGCTTTCTGGAAATCTCCAAGACTGTCATAGGCGTTGCCAAGATTACAGTACGCTATTCCTTCTCCTGCCCTGTCTCCCACTTCTTTCGAAATTCTGAGGTGTCGTTCATGGTACTCTATGGCTTTCCGGAAATCTCCAAGATTGTGATAGGCGATGCCTAGGGCGTGCTGGAAATCTTTAAAGTTGACAAAGACGTCGCCAATATTACCATTAATAGCTGTGTTTCCCATATTTTTTTTGCTGGCTTTGCTATTTCAGCTCAGCCACATATTGTGGTTTCTTTTTTCCGCTGATACCATTTGTCTTTATGTACGATAACGAAGAGGATCTGAAAAGTAAAATTAAAAGCTGTAGTAAAAGCTTAATATTTATTAGCTCCTTTACTACTCGTTCTTGGCTATCACAGTCGCATTTGATTTGCCTCAAAAGGGATCCTTCTATGTGTTTTTCATCGTTGTATAATATGACTTGATGGACTGGGGTCTTCTCTAAAAAAGGAAAATATTAACATTCGTTTGGTGATAATGATCGAAATTAAAAACAACAACAACAACAAAGAAACAGATTTACCATTGTTTAAACATGGTGTATATATAGAGAATATTATATGGCCGCGCGGAGATGGGAAAATTCTCTTCGATTGTTGAAAAATATTTCACTCGTTCGCTGCACTCACTCGTGAAATATTTTTTTCAACACGAGAAGAGAAATTTCGTATCTCCAATCGACCATGTAATGTTCTATTTATTATATAAACACCAATGAAATACCAACCATTTTACTTGAATAGTTTTTTGGTCTCAAAGGTGCGGTTTATTATGAAGCTATAGCAACGATGACATTTTCACATGTGAAGATAACATGTTATTTTCACGTGTGAAGTTATCAAGTTTTCGCGCGAAAGCTCACTTGGTATTTCATTGGTGTTTATATAATAAAAATTGTCTATCTACACATTGTACATTCATCTATCTTCCACTGAAAAAATAAATTTGTTGTCAACAAACTACAAACCGCGGAAACATTTTAGAAAATTCAAATTTGGGAAAGTGAACTTATTTCTAAGGGTTAACATCTCTGGGTAGCGGAATACAAGTGTTTAGCAATTGAAAACAAAACCTATTTCTTTACCACCAAAACACTGAGAAAGTTACAGGTATTTTAAGCTTGTGGGTTTTCAAAAAACTGTAATAGTTCCACAGCTGGTTCCAGTTCAAGTCCAACTCGGTGTAAAAACCTGAGGAGTTTTCCTTTTTCCCTCCTATCTTCTTAAGTAGATCTATAAGTAGGATGAGCATGATCGTCCGAGGGCTGACGTAGTACTAAATAGGACTGTTGTATCGACATTGGCTGACGCGCGGTTGTCATCTGCTGAGTAAAAGTGAGTTGTATTACGTCAGTTGATGGTACAGTCGCACCTCCATGTGGGACCACCTCTCGTAAGCGACCACCTCCCATAAGAGACCGTGAACCCAAAACACTAAAACTTTCCCAGTCAAAGCCTTACAGTTGGAACCTCTAGTAAATGACCACTTCCCGTAAGCGACCGCGACCACTTTTTGGGCCTGAAAGTTTAATGATTTTCCATTGTTTTTAACCTCTTGTAAGCGACCACTTGACGCATTCTCTGATCTCTATGTTCGCTGTGTGCACTATGCTACTTAGAATATACGACATGTACGAAGAACGTTAATAACAACGTTGAACTACACATGGCGTAACTTAGAAATTGCATACAATAAATTATCTTCCATAAAGTAGATGTGACGGCCAATGTCCCTTTTTATGTTATTGCGATTCTTGCTTTGCGTGTGAAAAGTCCGCATTCCTTACAGGAAAGGAATTCATGTCTTGGGGAATGTGCTCATTGTAGATCACCACGTCAAAAAAGTATTATACATATTCACTAGGACAGTTAGAGAGGCTTTATAACACAATATCAGACAAAAACAAAACTTAAATTTAATTTGCTTTGTTAGTCTTAAGAACCAGAATTGAGAAATGTACTGCTTGTTATTAACAGCCGTTTTGACCCGTAACGACAATAGTTTTTGGAATTTCCGGTTAGGTCAAGTTAGTCACACTATTGTTGGTTTTCACATGACGTCACTAAAATTCAAACTAAAAAACTATCGATCCTACTGAGATTTTACTTTCACGATGCATTAGAGCAGCTGAAAACTAATTTTCATACAAATTTTCGCTTCAAAAGGGTTCTTGGTTTTGTGATAGAGTACGCTTGAATTTCTAAGCTTTTGTGTGACGCGGCATTTTTATGAAGGCCAAGAGAGCTATCATGTAGGTTAAATAAATGACTTAATTCAGGAAATTTTGCTATCTAAACAGTTCATGTATTAGAAAAAGTATTACTTTATTGTTTATGTGTTTCTCGAAGAATAGATTCACGCTTTTGTAGCAAAACTCTGTAACAGATGTTTCTGTTGGTTTCCGTCCGCCATGTTGGAGCTCATCCAGTTGAGCATCAGCATGGCGTCTCCATACAAATCTCTATAAGTTTGCTGGGTAAAACATTTCTTCGGATATCTCGTATGCGAAATATTCCTCTGTCCTGAGTCTTGGCGAAGGTCTTTGTATATGTACCTCCTTTCATTTCCCAGATTCTGAACTTTATCTATTGAACGGTTTTGATTTTTATTTTGATCTATTTTGAATGGCGTGACACTGAAAACTAGCAATATTTTGGGGAGCAGAGAGAATGAGGGAGGGGTGCGTGAAAATGACGCTTACTGTTTCCTGCTTAGAATGGCTCACTTCTTTATTATTATTCATAATGGTGGAATTTGAAAAGGTACTATACAGCCCCGACTTTAAAATGGTACTCATTTTTCTTGTTATGAAAGTCTTCCAAAAGGGTACAATGTTCAAATGACTAACTGTTTAACTCTCACATGAGATGCTACGTCACGTAATGGTCAGCGACAATATTAAGCCTGGTGGCCTACGTGTGCAGCCACCCACTCCCCCAGGAAAATTACATCGGCAACACAGTAAAAATCGCCTTTTGGCGATTCTTGTTAGATCTATTGATCTTGATGCCATTTTCATTGCCGTCGCCGTTGAACATTACACGATTTAATTTTTTTTTGCTTATAAGTATTATTAACCAAAGCTTCGCTTTTAGCCCTGGGTAAATCTATATATTACCAGTTGATTCAGTTAGTTCCCATTGGTATGCCTGTGGGACGGGCGAGCGTACAGTTACGTGATTATCAAAATTTCTCGGGTAACAGCTGGGGTAAGTAGATTACCACATTTTTTTTTATATTAGGCCATGATGGGGCTACGCTCGTGCGCGTGGAGCTCCGTTATAATGCATTTTTACGGTAAAGGAACCTTGGAGTTATAGTGTAGCTTCAGCTAATGCAATGCCTACCTTAGTTAGAAATTCCCAAGCAGTTTTGATAGTTCGCTTGATTTGTGCCGAGGAAAGGGTCAACAATTTCTTATAATTTCTGTCGTAGGTACGACAAAAGCAACTCTAGCGACGAGGAACCGGTTATAGAGAACTTAAGAACCACGACGAATTTCACGACGACGACGTCTGTTGACTGGGAAAAGACTGGAACGAGAACGTCAGTTTCGGCGGGAAAAAGAGAGCTTAAGGTGACTCGATCCAGTTATTTTGTAAGGGTACCATCCTACTTTGAAGCTCTGTGGTATCCCCACCTTTACTTTGATCGTAAGTCTAACATATAGCATGTATAACATATAGATCAATCTACAATATAGCATAAAATTTTTGGCGATCGGAGTAAATGTCACGTGGTTATAGTGCCACGCCTCTTTGGGGTCTGAGTCGAAATTCTGCTGTTGCCGGCATTTTTTCGTGAAAATCTCTCGGCTACATATAGCGCGTATTAGTGCCTTGCGTTGAACAGAGTTTCACCAAAATCGCAAAGACCCAATGCGAGAAATTCAGCGGTTTCCAAATTTAGGTCATAATTTATGCGAAAATGAAAAGCCAACTTTACACGATTATATCTAATAAACTATGAGATTTATCTCTTTATTTTGGGGATCTGACAGATGGGTCCTTGCAAGTCAGCAAAAAACTTTAGGGCCTTGTAAATGAGGGCGATTTCGAGCAATGCAAACATATACAAATTATAGTTTTAGCTAGTTGTTGACGTTTGTCAGCGTTTAAGAGTCCTTCTCACGAAAAAAGCATTTTCTTAAAAATTCGTAGTTTTTTTTCCTTCAAATTTTTTCAGGGCCACAATTGATTAACGATTAACAGACTACCCGAATTCTGAATTTCGTGACCATTGAAAAACTGTGACATTATGTTCTATAAGCCCAAACTTGAGTAAACATAGAAGATTTTTAGCGTTTTGGCTGAGTTTGTGCTTTGGGAGTTTAGTCTGTCATGATACAGCATTCTTGTTCAGCACGCGTGCAATGACCGCGTTTGGCTAACTTCGGAACAGTTGGTCTGAAACTTCCTATTTTTTCTCCGAATACTGCCGGATATGCTTTGTGATGAGTGACCTTCTAATCTTCTAACGAGGCTCAAATACACTTTGTGTTTGATTTGAAGTAAAAAAAAGACTGGAATTTCAATTGTCGCAGTTGTGCTGTCATACGCCCTACCCCTGGAACTTGCTTGACAACCGGACTGGTGACAAATTTCAGTCGTAATTCCGTACGAAAGATAGTTTTCTTTCCAGCTCCTTCCAATTTTCTATGTCTGCTTTAATTTTATCAATGTATTACGATTTCCGCATTAAGTGAGATTGGGGCAGTTTGTTTCAATCGTCTACTAATCCCCTGGTATCAAATTCCCCACCCCTCCCTCCCTCCGTCCAATCCCTAACCCCTGTTGACGCTTGTTACGCAGTCAGACAAATTTTCACTTTCCGTGTTCATCACTAAGTAAACAGCTCGGGGTTTTTTCTACCCCCAGGGTGGGAACTCATTGATGGTTCTGTTTGATCAAAACCGAAGAAGATGTGTGACGAAAACTGGGATGGGTTCTAGCGTTACGCTTTAAAGCTTTATGTTGCCTTAAAGTATTGCTTGGTAGCCAGTAGCGCGCGCTGGCTCCACTGTAAGCAGTTCCTCAGATAAACGAAACCTCAAATTACTGAAGGATAGCCTGCGAGCAAGCTCTCCTATTTGGGCGAGTGAAGCGAGTCTCGCGAGAACGCGCGAGCAAGCGGCGAAGCCGCGACGGCCCCTCGCTCGCGCGTTCTCGCGAGGCTCACTTCACTGGCCCAAATAGGAGAGCTCGCTCGCAGTCGCCCCATGTAAGGTAATCCAAGAGAGTCTTGGATTCCGGATTCCACGCTGTGGATTCCGGATTCCACGCCTGTGGATTCCGGATTCCACATCCGTGGATTCCGGATTCCATAAGTGGCTGGATTCCAGATTTCAAAATTCTATTTTCTGGTTTTCAACGTTTCCTTTGTACTTTGTTTTCACCAAAAAAGCTTGTTCTTTTTTTACCTGATGTGTACATTGTCTTATATAAAATATAAGTATAAAATATAATTCTTGGCCTTTCTAACCACTGAACCACCAGGGCTCTAGCGTTAGTGAAGTCGGAATTCTACTATACCAGCAGAGTGTACTACACTTCTGTACTGGGAGCTGAGGGCATTGCACTTCTATGCTCAGTTTCTCGTGTGGCTTCTGCTAGTTTCATTAAAGTCATTTTTTAGTGATGTACTAGTGAGCAGCACACTTACACTTCCAGTGAACATTTACACTTGGAAGAAGAAGAAACCATGCTCGCCCGGGGCAACGAAAATTTTCGTGCCCCGGGCGAGCATGGTTTCTTCTTCTTCCAAGTGTAAATGTTCACTGGAAGTGTAAGTGTGCTGCTCACTAGTACATCACTAAAAATTAAAAAAAATAACGATCGATTGAGAAAAAAATTCAAAGTGATCTCTCGAGATGTCTGATTTCGACTGATTGAATCTGGACTGAATGAAAGACACCACGTCGACACCACGTGCAGCATGTCATTCTTTGAGTGACACTGATGACATGTGCCTGAAAGAAGCCAGTAACTGCAACCACCCCCGACTACTGATACTACGGCCAAGAATAAGGATACTTTATATTATTATTCTTTTGACGTTACCTGAAATCCAAAAATTAGTTCCAATTGCGCCCAAACAGGAAAAGAATCTAAACCTCCGATTCCAAAGGCGCAACGGGGAAAAAGGTAGAAAGGCCCGGTCGAAAGGGTGTCTTATAAAGAGCTCGAAAGAGCGATAATATACAGTAATATGAATCACTCCCTGGGATTCTGTCACGTCATTATAATGTGACCATTGTTTCAAATTGATACCCGATATGTCACAATGTCAGGGGATGTTCCTGCGAGTGAAACACGCGTGAACATGCCTGTTGCGCGTCCTTGCGACATGAGATTTTCACGCAACAGTCGCTAAAGGAAAAGAAGAGGCCCTGGAACCATCACAACAGAGTGGATTCCAGCAACCTGGATTCTGGATTACAATGCTTGGATTCGGGATCCCATTAGCTGGATTCCGGATTCCAAAGCCGTGGATTCCGGATTCCACAGACCAAAATTACCTGGATTCCGGATTCGGGATTACCTTGCATGGGGCGATCGCAGGCTAACTGAAGGATACCATTAGTTGTAATCAAATGTCGCCATCGCCCAAATGCACCGTATTTTTAACGATCAGCGTTAGGAAGAAGCAAAAATCTGGTTTTGTGCTGGCTGCAGTCAGCCTAAGAGTCAGGAAAATCACGATTCTATGTTTTCTTTCGGTTAATGAAATTCGCACCCCCTCCAGTCTGGGATGATTTTGTTCTTCCAGCGATTTGCTGCTCACTCGGTACATCTTGAATAATGGAATGTCATTTATAGAAGAAACTTGAGGGTTTCGAAAATCCTCCGGTGGGATCACGCTCCCTATAATGGCGTATACGGGGAGGTCGTCCTCTTCTATCCGGGCTATTTTCCTTCATCATATTCTTAAAATAAAGCCAACCTTAGTCGGTTATGATCTTGATTTTTTAATTATGGCCGCTTAATAGAGGTGAGAAAAATGGGAAAACTCTCATAGAAACAGCACTGAAACTGGAAGCGATCGCTTAATAGAGGTGGCCGCTCAATAGAGGTTTAATTTTCCATTCTTTTCTACAATTATTTCGGGGCATTGATTACTGGCCGCTTAATGGAGGATGGCTGCTTAATAGGTGGCCGCCTAATGGAGGTTCAACTGTATACAGAGTGGGATGATAACCATGTATGCATGATAAATCAGTGCAAGGGCGGAGGGGACATCCTACATGACGGGTAATATCGCTGAAAAAGTCATCTGTGATCTGAAAGATCATAGACAACACAGACTAACATACTTTGACCAAATTTTAACCCTGGAGATTAAGAACCAAATGCATTTCTAAGTTAAAGGAACCTTGGAGGTCTAGTGTAACTTCAGCTAATGCAATGCCTACCTTAGTTTTTTATTCCCAAGTAGTCTTGATATTTCGCTTGATTTGTCCCAACGAAGGGGTCTACGAGGAAATTATATTTTGTAAGACAAAATTAAGTTAAAAGTCAATTGCATTTTCCTTCACAAAACAACAGGACTTGTACAAAACGTACCAAGCAACAATCAACCCTTCTACCAAGCTCGAAAAAGTTGAAAGGATTTTCCCTTTTGTAATTTAGCTTTCAGTTTCACTTTGATCAAATTACGTCAACAAAAGTGACGTAAGTGCTTCCAGAAATAGCTCCAACCAACCAGGAAAAATTTGAAAACCAATGAAGAATACGAGGAGCCACATTAAATCTAATATACAAATAATATTTCTCGAAAGAAATAACAAGGCTCGCAAACTAGAGCTCTCACAACAAATTCTGTAGACTGATGGAATCTTTCAGTGAGGAAGTTGGTCTTAGACTTCCTGTTTTTCTCCTTACACTGCCGGATATGCCTCTTGTGTGACCTTTAACAGGACTCCCACTCTGTGTGTGATTTAAGTAAAATGGAATTTTTATTGTCGCAGATGTGCTGTCATATACCCTACCCCTGAGACTTTCTTGACAACCGGACTGGTAACAAATTTCAGTGGTAGTATTACGAAAGATACTTTTTCCCTCAACTCCTCCCTATTTTCTACATCCGCTATAATTTTATCAAGGTACTACAGATTTCTGCATTGAATGAGATTGAGGCAGTTTACCAGTTTTAATCCTCTACTAATCACATGGAATCAAACTGCCCTCCCCTCCCTTCCCCACTGCTCCCAATCCCTTACCCCTTTTGTTCGCCTGTGAACAGGCTCTCTGTTTGGTACCTGCGAAAACATTCGTTTCTGTTCGCAGGCTATCTGTTTGGGGAAAGGGTGAAAAAATCGCAAGGAGAGGGAAAGGGTGAGAGCCTAGCTATTTCAGGGAAATAAAATATTTGTTTAAAACGTTTTTCAAATTTAATTGATGTTTTGGTAAATGCTTTCCGCCGTTTTACTACAACACTCTTATTTGTATTCATCCTCTATCTCGAACTGTTTTCCTCTATCGTATCCTTAAAATAAAGCCAATCGTGGTGCGTCAAGTGCTTGATGGCCGCTTAATAGAGGTGAGAACAATGGGACAGGCAAAAAGGTGGCAGCGATTGCTTAATAGCGGTGGGCGCTCAATAGAGGTATAATTTCCCATTATTTACTACCACAGTTATTTCGGCGCATTGATTACTCATGATTACAGGCCGCTTATTAATGGAGGATGGCCGCTTAAAATGGTTCGACTGTATAATAGTGGCGGCTGCTCAATCGAGGTTTAATTTCCCATTCTTTACTACAATTATTTCGGGGCATTGATTACTCATGATTACAGGCCGCTTAATGGAGGATGGCGGCTTAAAATGATTCGACTGTATAATAGAGATGGCCACTCAATCGAAGTTTAATTCCTCATTCTTCAACTGTATACAGAGTGGGATGGTAATAATGTATGCATAATAAATCAGTGAAAGGCTAGGGTGGAGAGGAAGTCCTACATGATCATGAAAAACTGAACCCTATGCGATCTGAAAGATCATAGCCAACACGGCCTTATTAAAAGAGACATACTTTGACAAAAGGTTCCTAGAGATTAAAGAACCAAATGCATTTCTAGGATAAGGAAACCTAGGAGTTTTAGTGTAACTTCAACTAATGCAATGCCTATCTCGGTTATAAATTCCCGAGTAGTCTTGATCGGTTCGCTTGATTTGTCACGACGAAAGGGTCTACGAGCGAATGATATTTTGTAAGACAAGTTTAAGTATAAAAGTCAATTGCCATTTTCTTTCGCAAAATAACAGGACTTGTACAAAACTTACCTAAAGTAACAATCAACTCCTCTGCCAAGAAAACGATGCTTCGCTTAAAATGCCACGTTCGCCTCGCTTGGCTCATAAAGCGCCTGTTATGCAGGCTAGTGACGGGGATGAGTTCTAGCGTTACGCTTTTTGAAGCTTTATACTGTTTTAAAGTATTGTTTGGTAGCCAGTAGCGCGCGCTTGCTTCACTGTGAGCAGTTTCTCAGAAACATGTAACCCCAATTTACTAAATGATTCCACTAGTTGTAATCAAATGTCGCCATCGCCCAAATACACCGTTATTTTCACTCGGTCCATCTTTAAAAAAATGAATGTCATTTGTATTATAAACGGGAAGGATTTTACTCAGATCGATGAAAAGCCCCGGTGGGGCACTCCCTATAGTGGCGTATACGGGAAGGACAGTCCTCTTTTATCTCGGACTCTTTTTTTTAGCGTATTCTTAAAATATAGTCAACCTTAGTCTGTTATGGCCGCTTAATAGAGATGAGAAAAATAGAAAAACTCTCGTTGGAATGGCACAAAGGTGACCGCGATGATCGCTTTATAGAGGTGGCCGCTCAATCGAGGTTTAATTTTCCATTTCTTTTCTACAATTATTTCGGGACATTGATTACTGGCCGCTTAATGGAGGATGGCTGCTTAATAGGTGGCCTCTTAATGGAGGTTCAACTGTATACAGAGTGGGATGATAACCATGTATGCATAATAAATCAGTGAAAGGGCTGAGAGGAAATCCTACATGATCATGAAAAACTAATGCAATGCTTACCTTAGTTATAAATTCCCAAGTAGTCTTGATCGGATCCCTTGATTTGTCACGACGAAACGGGGTCTGCAAGGAAATTATATTTTGTAAGATCAAGACAAAATTAAGTTAAGTGAATTGCATTTTCCTTCACAAAATAAAAGGACTTGCACAAAACTTACCATGCCACAATCAACCCTTCTACCAAGCTCGAAAAACTTGAACCCAACGGATTTTTCCCTTCCGTAATTTAGCTTTCAATTTCACTTTGATCAAATATACGTCGACAAAGAGCTCTTATAACTACAAATCTGTAGACTGATGAAATCTTAGTGAGAAAGTTGGTCTTAGACTTCCTGTTTTTCTCCTTACTCTGCCGGATATGCCTCTTGTGTGACTTTTACCAAGGCTCGCACTTCATGTGTGATTTGAAGTAAAATGGAATTTTTATTGTCGCAAATGTGTTGTCATATACCCTACCCGGCCCTGAGACTTTCTTGACAACCGGACTGGCGACAAATTTCAGTTGTAGTATTACAAAAGATAGTTTTCCCTCCCGGGGAGGGTACTCCCTTATAAGAGGCTAATGGGGATATGCCGCTGGATTTCACGACTGGATTGACTATAATGGGGTCGCATTTTCAATAGAGTTTACTAGGAATGGGGTCGCACATTGTCTGTTTTTTGGGGTAAGAGAGTTCTTCATATTAGCAGTTAGCAAACGTACCAGAATGTTTGTATTGTTTGTACTGTTGTTTTTTATTCAATATAAGGTAGATACATAAATAGAAAGTGACTAAGTTGGGATGGCAAAAATGTCAAGGTGACTGAGATGGGATCTATAATTGGCCCCAGAATAGACTACAATGGGGTAGGGGTTCCAAGAGGCCAGCGGCATATACCCAGCAAAAATTGACCCAAGTAGCCCCCCCGGGTTTTCCCTCAACTTGATTTTCCTCTGATAAGTAAGTGTGGTCGTTAGGAATCGATGGCGGACAATATATTGTTTTTGGATATGTCCCTTGTAAGTTCGAAGTGTTTATTCCAAGTTTGGCTATTTAATAAGGATGTGACCGACGATAAAATAGCCATGATTGCTATATGCTGGAGAATTTTCGGGGCATTGATTACTCATGATTACTGGCCGCTTAATGGAGGATGGCCGCTTGATGGTTCAAAATGTATAATTGAGGTGGCCGCTCACTAGAGCAAATAAATGCAAATAAATGTAAATTCCCATTCTTTACCACAATTATTTCGGGACATTTATTACTGGCCGCTTAATGGGGGATGGCCGCTTAATAGGTGGCCACTTAATGGAGGTTTAACTGTATACAGAGTGGGATGATAACCATGTATGCATAATAAATCAGTGAAAGGAGTGTTACGAAAACTAAGACCCTCGAAAACGAAGACCTAAGACCTAAGACCCGTCTTAGTTTTCGAGATTACGAAAACTAAGACCCCCTAAAATCGAATCCGTCGAAATATAAAGTCAAATTGTAACCGAAGTAGGTCTGATCTGTCAAATTATATCATGTTCGATCCTTTCCACCGAGTTTTAGGTCAAATTGAACGGTAAATTTAGGGGTGTTAGTTTTCGTAATTTCGAAAACTAAGACCCCTCTTAGTTTTCGTAATTACGAAAACTAAGACCCCCACCAAAACAATCTCTAAAATTTCTACAAAGTCGAATTACGACCGTCTGAAGACTATAATCGCAGGGGCACCCAACGACCGTTTTCTGGGAAATGATCTGAAATGGCTCGTTATGCATTCTGGAGTGCTTTAAAAGCAATATAAATCAATAATTCGCATCGCTAAAAAAATTTGATCTGTTCGGTCGTCCTAGGAGTGGTTTGAACCTCTCGAATTGTTTAGGGCTGTTTTTCGCCTTTCCCGAAAATAACAGCCTACAGTGAAAGCTTTCCGAAAACGTAAGATTACCAGACGAGCTTTTCCCTTAGCCGAAATTTTTAGGGGTCCTTTCAGTTTTTTTCCGAAAACTCTATCTATTGTGGGAATGTCTTCGAATTTTCTAGGGCGACGTAGAATGTATAGAAAATTCTAGGTGTAATAATAAGAATAACTATAATAAAAAATAAGAAGAACAAAAATAAGGACAATAGAAACGGCATTTAAGTGATTTTAATGCCAGTTTCAAACGTCTTGTACCCTGCCGAACTCAATTCGCACGGCACTTACTGAAAAATCTGAAATACGGCATGGCACTGACTGATTAGCCGGGTTTTTTGCTATTCTTAGTTTACGAAAGCTACGAAATTTCTAGGTGCTTAAATCAGAATCTAGAGATAACTACAAAATCCGAAATTCTTAGGTGAACAAACCACACAAATCCTAGCCTGCGTAGCAGGCGCTGGGAAGTAGCGGGCGAAAGAGAGAACGGGCGCGCGCGAGAGAGACACGCAAG